GCAGGTCAGCACAGTGCAGGGATTTCCCCTGGGCCCAGCAAAGAAGCTACTCCTGGAGGGAGGCTCTCGGGGCACCACCTTTGCCTCAAAGCTGCAGACCCGGGTATGTGTCTACTGATGGAGTTTTTGATATTATATAGCGTTTTTGTCCAATACTTTTTAATGTCAAAATGAAAGTAGAACTTATTAGGTCCCATTACCAAGCCGGGTCCTCAGCCGCACAAATGAGGTGGGATTGTGAGGACGCCCAGAGAGCCAGCACCTCTTGGTCCCTGACTCCGTCTCCTCCCACGGCAGCTGCTCCACTCTTCCATTTGCTTTGGAAATTCCTCCACCATGGGTCCCGCAGCCCGTGCCATCACTCCCAAATTCTCCTTTCTTTCCAACAAAAACCTCAGAACTCTTGTTCCACATTGCAAATCAGCAGCACTTGTGGGCGATTTAGAGAGGGCTTCAGATAAAACTGCATTTTTCAAACTTCAAGGCTGGAAACTCCCTAAAACTTTACTTTGAAGTCCCCTCTTCCTGAAATCTTATTGATACAAAATATCTAGTACTCTGGTTCTCGGTGATTTTTAGGAAGTGATTCTTTTTTTTCCTTTAATATTTAATACAGAGTCTACAGGGTCTAGCGATCCTCCTGTTTTCAGCCTCCCAAGAACTGGGATTACAGGCGTGCAGCACCCCGCCCAGTCTCAACTGCTGTCTCAGCACGCCCCAGGGGCGGGGCCGGCATGGCTAGAGATACGCCTAAGCAGGCACTTTAGTCGGCTCAGTTACCAGGCGGGCCCCAGAGGGAGTGATTCTTAATAGGTACACAAGGCTGCTGCCAGCCAATAACCGATTTTCATACGAACAGTAGTGTACGGGCCTGTTACATTTTCTGAAGAACAGATACTCTGTTGGGGAGGCTGTTCGGACCCTTACAGTGGGCCGCCTCCCACGGCCTACTTTAGACAGGTTGTGTCAGTTACCTTGACATGAGGTGGGGGCACCAGAAAGAAAGAATTTCTTTCCTTCTGAGTCATCCTTGGATTTGCCAGGAACGATTTTGGGGGTGAAGTCAGCACCGCGGAAACATCTGTGATTGTACAGCGGATGGGAGACATCGGT